GGGCTGGAGGCGCGGCGGGCGGCTGTCCCGGCGGCGCGGGCCTTGGCACGGGGGAGTTAACACTTCATGCTTCTCGCCTCCTCTTCTGCCTGGCTCTTTTTATTTTTTTCTTTCCTCTCTCTCTCCCTCGCGCGCTCTCTCCCTCCGTGCAAAGTGCAAGACAGAGGTGCAGCCCGGCTGGAGGAAAGGGAGGGGGGAGTTTAGTTCGTTCTTGCCTTTTTTTTTTTAAAGCAAAATAGCGAAGTCCTGGGGAAAGGCGAGGCAGAGAGCAAAAAGGGGGAGGCCGAGCCGACGAGCAGCCCGAGCTACAGCTCGAAGATGAAAAAAGATTTTAAAGCCTCTGATCCAGCAAGAAGAGTTTAAAGCAATTGCTGAGTTTTATACCACTTGTGACGTCAGGCCCAAAAGGGAAATTGACTGGTACTCCGGACCAATGGGAGGCGGCGAGAGCGGCCGCGATTAGCATAATAGTATAGAAACAAGGAAACTTTTCGTAGCTGTCAATCAGGGCCCAATCAGCTGACTGTCAGCTGGGACAGGCAGGCTTAACCCTTCCCGCGCCGCAGCCTCCCCGGGAGGGAGCAAAACCGGGCGCAAAGTTTGGGGCAAGAGGGAAAGGAGTTTTCCAGAGGGGCTGCGGGAACCCGGGAGGAGAGGGAGGACGGGCTGCTTTACTTCGGAGCGCGAGAGAGGCCTGCTTTCCGGAGTCCCAGCTTGTCCTCCACTCACTCTGCGGGGACTGTCCTGACTCCCCTCGCCTGCCTGCCCCCCATCCCCAGGATTGTGAATTCGCCCCGCAGCTTTTCCTCCTCGCTCCACCTTCCGCCCCCAGCTGTCTGTCCCGGGGACCTTCCTTCCCCGAGCCTGGCTGTGCCGGGAGCTCAAACTTGGCCCCAACTCTTTGTCCCTCTCCCCGGTGCCTGCGCGCAGGGGTGCAGGCGTCCGGACTTTGCGCAAGACACCGCCTCGCCGCGCGCCTGCCTGGGTGGTTTGCAGTCCGCGGACAGAGACGGTCCGTTTTAACACCCACTCTTAAATGAGGTGAAATAAGTTGTTGAGGGGCCATTACGGGCCGGGGCTGGCTGCCCGCTGGCGTCGGGCGCCCTTTGGGGGAACGAACGCCTACGCGAGTTAGGTCCGGGAAAACTCAGAGTCGGGTCAGCCGGCTCGGCCCTCGGGCTTCGGACTCTGGCCCGAATTTGGCATTTAGATTCATATTCATCTCTCTCTCTCTCTCTCTGTCCCTCTCTCTCTCACACACACACACACTCATGCACACACTCATACCCACGCTTACCCACCCCCTTATGAAATCTGACCCTGTTTATCAGGGTCCCGCGCGCCCTTTGCACTTTTACGTTTCACTTAATTATTTCAGATTTGATCGTGGAGAGGAACAAGGGGGAAAAACAACTCCCCAGCCTTCACCAGCTCCATTCGAAGGGTTAAATTTTAAACCGCGGTTTCTCGGACCAGCCCGGAAACCCAGAGTGGGGGCGGGGTGGGGGGGCTGCTTCTCCCCCTCCCGGTTGTAGATGCTAATAACTATTCAATTTTCTAGATCGATTCTTTTAAAGTTTATGCAAAAAAAGAAAAAGGAAAGATGGAAAAAGAAGAGGAAAAAGAAAGAACCAACAACTGTTTCTAAGATTTTAAAGCGATAGGCAAGTCGGAGAAGCTGAGATTTATTCGGAAAAAGCAAAATTGCGCTCAACTGACCCAGCGTTTGGAAGACCAGCCCGCCTGCTTGGATGATGGGACTGTTGATTCCTCCAATTAATGAAATGCATTTGGTGTTAATCATATTTATTTTACTTTATGGGACGGGGAGACGCTAGGAGGGTGCATTAAAAAAAAAAAAAAAAGAATCTGAAAAGCCTGCAAGAGGATCGAAGAGTGAAAACTATTGTTGGACCGAGTTGGTTTTTACCTCAACAGCGCCACCTTTCGGCAAAGGTCAGTTGAAATTGATCCGTGTCCAGTTTTGTTGATGAAGTGAAAAGAAGCTGGTTTCCCAAGGTGGGAGGAGGAAAAAGGCACAGACAGTTTGACTGCCATGGGAGAACCCGACCTTGTAGGAAAAGGATTGAAGACAAAGCTGGCAGATGCGGGAATCATTTTTCCCCCCCTCTCCCCCTTGATTGTCGACAAAGAGGCCAGGGGACACAGAAGCCTTCGGAGAATAATTCTGGCTGAGAGACTTTTGCAAGTGGATCCCATCTAACGGGGCCCCCAAACCCTTTAGAAGGGCCAGGATGGATTGTCAACGGGCGTTATGGCAATATCAATAGAATTAAAGTTACTTGTAATTCAGTGATAGATGAGATGTCTCTAGTAAGTAAGATTAAGTGCAGTGCTATAAAGTTGTTTATCTGAAAAGTAATTCTCAGAAAACCTGACTTTTGACACTTAGTCATATATTAAGCCAGCGTCTTGAACATTGCACTTCAGAATGCTCACCCACCCTCAGCGGAGTTGACTATTTATAACGAGACCTTAGGTGTCACTCATTGGCTTCAAACACCAGGTTAGACCTGAGTTAATTTCTCTGATGCTGGCAGCCTTCAGTTCAGCAGACCTGGGAATCCCTAATGAGAGACTCCCCAAACCGTTCGTAGGCACATCATAACACTAAAAGACCAGCGCTGTTGGTATTTTCCAGAAAAGCACCTTTTCTTTTCATCATTACTGCAGAGAAGCTGTTTATAAGGGTAGTTTTGGTTTTATGGGAATACTTTGTAGGGATGAAATAAAGTGTGTCTGTTACCAGTTTGGAGAAGAAAGAGTGAGGATTATGTCAATATTTATGCAACCTAACAGAATTCCTTTGCTTTCCTCCTCTTAAACAGTGTTTTACCTAATAATGAAGTTAAGGGATTATAGCTTATGTATTCAGAGGAAAATCCACTGTTTAAATTACATAAACATATTATGTCATTTAGCGTTGTCCACAGCAGTAGTTTTCTAGATCTTTTTTTATCATTAGCCACAAATGTCTGAAGTTTTATTTTTCATATAAAACTATGAATTTGTGTATTTAGGAAGAATTAGTTATTTTTTGTTTATGATAATTTTTTTTTATCATTTTGCATCACTTTTTTGTTAAAAGCTGTAAGATATGATCCCTGCCTCTCCTGAAAGTATTTTTGGCCAAGAACACTGAAACTGCTACATTTATAAATAAGCAACATTTATAAACAAAGTTCACTAATGACGAAGACTGCATGATATAGATTCATGGCTGTGCACCTAATTGTTGCAATTATATATCATTTCTAGAAATTAAATGCCCATGTTTGGGCAGCTAAATGTATTATTATCTGCACTTTTTTTTATGGTTTATTTTAGTACACTGCTGTCAAGCCATAGTATTTTTCCTTCTGTAACTGCAAAGTCTTTTATACGCTCCCATTTTCTCTTGAAAAAAGAAAGGATCAGAATTTTTAGATGTGTAGCCATAGTGCTCTCAAGCTTATAACTTAATTCTCATTTTTGTCCTTTTTACTTTATTATTTAGTGATTCACAGGGGTGTCTAAACATTTACAGTCCTCTGTTAGCAGCGTTTCTTTTGTAACAATTGAGCTCTCTCATTTTAATTAGTACTATTCAGATTTTTGATTCTCTACAATTAGAGCAGGCCACATTTCTTTAGACTCCTTTGCTAACATTGTTTGTTTCACTTCTATCCAGGCCAGTGTAATCCAAATACAATATGAACTGTGTTTCCTTACTGCCTAATATCCCCTTGCTATATATACGCTAGTAATCTCTGTAGAACAATATAGAGTAATTTAGAAACCATGCGTTTGTCATTATTGACCAATTCAAACCAGTAGCATTAAAGTTTCTGAAAGCAGTGAATATTTATAGAGGAATTTGGTGGGGGGAGAGCATGGGTCGGATCATGCAGAGGATTGCGAAACTGTAACATCAAAAACACAATTGTAGTTTCATGTCAGTCCATATATAACAACTTCATGCAAAAAGAAGAAAAAAAAACCCTGTTCATATCCAAATTACAATGATTAAAAGCTAAAAACAATATATTTTTCCTGATTGTGAGTTATAGCAACTCAAGTATAGCGTGTTGTAATCAGACATATATAATCTAAAAAGAACACGATGTATCAAGTGCAGTGTCTGAACAGTCTGTTTACCCAGGAGCAGGTTTTATGGTGCAGAACTAACCAGTGTCCACTACATTTCGCCATGAAACCAGCTACATTGATTGAGAGAAGAGTTGTTCAGAGAAAGTGAATGATAAGGTGTAGAGTGTTCCTAGGTCTAGTGTCAGATAAATCCTTTTAACAGTCTTTAGTTAGCAGGGTAAGTAAATCACCAATCACTGTTAGCAGATTCATGGAAGAAAATTAATAGAATCAGACGAGATAATCTGATAAGGGTAAAATTGCTGAGGAAACAGTCTTGCCTCATGTTGGAGGATGTGAAACAACAGTCTGATTACTAGGAGTTGTTATGAATAGGTGAATTATGTGCTAAATAATCATCAGAGTAATTCGGCATTTATTAATTCTTTTCTCTTTAAGCAATTCACAGTTGTAAGTTAAAGCCGCTCTCTCTTTGAAGACACATCTTTTATAATTTTTATTAGAGGTAATTTATTATTTGCATTACCTGTATTTACTTCATAATTGAACATTTTGCATTCAAATTTATGTAATGCATTATGCTTGAGAATATATTTCTGCCTGATTAGCATAAATAGTCACTTACCTCATGAATTACTAACAAAGTTTATTTTAAAATATAGGTTTTTTTATTAAGTGGAACACAAACATATGTACAATAAATTCTGATCTTCCGGTGCAGTTACAGAACAACTCACGTTTGGTTTTGGGGAAGCTAGGCAAGGGGAGGGAATAATCATGGGGA